GAGAGAGACCAGAGAGAGAGACCAGAGAGAGAGACCAGAGAGAGACCAGAGAGAGAGACCAGAGAGAGACCAGAGAGAGACCAGAGAGAGACCAGAGAGAGACCAGAGAGAGACCAGAGAGAGACCAGAGAGAGAGACCAGAGAGAGAGACCAGAGAGAGAGAGAGACCAGAGAGAGACCAGAGAGAGACCAGAGAGAGAGACCAGAGAGAGACCAGAGAGAGAGACCAGAGAGAGAGACCGGAGAGAGACCGGAGAGAGACCAGAGAGAGACCAGAGAGAGACCAGAGAGAGACCAGAGAGGGACCAGAGAGAAAGACCAGAGAGAGACCAGAGAGAGACCAGAGAGAGAGACCAGAGAGAGACCAGAGAGAGAGACCAGAGAAAGAGAGACCAGAGAGCGGACCGAGACTGGACCCTGAGGCTGGACCCTAAGGCTGGACCCTGAGGCTGGACTAAGGCTGGACCCTGAGGCTGGTCAGAAGGACACGACAATAACACTTTCAGAGTTATTCAGTTCCACACTTTGAAGAGTCTCCGCGGGGCCTTCACCTGCTGCTGATTTAGTGCCTCATTATTCTGGATCAGCAGTTTCCTCTGTTCCCACGAGGCTAAGCAGGTCCTGGTGAGGCAGACCCTGATGGGGCTAAGCAGGTCCTGGTGAGGCAGACCCTGATGGGGCTAAGCAGGTCCTGGTGAGGCAGACCCTGATGGGGCTGAGGAGCCACAGACCTGCAGGACTGGACTGAATGAAAACCATTGATGATGATGATGATGATGATGATGGCCTTAATGACTGCTATAAATAACCAATCACTCAGAGAGAGGCAGATAAAGACACACACACACACGGGGCGAGAGAGACCCACACACACACAATGAGAGAGAGAGACACACACACACAAAGAGAGATAGACACACACACAGACACACAATGAGAGAGAGACACACAGACACACACACGGGGCGAGAGAGACATACACACACAAATGAGAGAGAGACACACACACAATGAGAGAGAGACACACACACACAATGAGCGAGAGAGACACACACACTCAGACGGAGAGAGAGACACACACACACGAGAGAGAGAGAGACACACACACACAATGAGAGAGAGAGAGACACACAGACAGAGAGAGACACACACAACGAGAGAGAGAGACACACACACAACGAGAGAGAGACACACACAGACAGAGAGAGAGACACACACAACGAGAGAGAGAGAGAGACACACACAGACAGAGAGAGAGACACACATTTTTTGTCACAGTAGGATTGTTGGTGAAAACACAGACCTGACCGACCCCCGCTGTGGACTTTGGACGTGACATAATCTCACATGTTGCACCATGTTTAACGTATACACACATGTTTAACGTATACACACATGTATAACGTATACACACATGTATAACGTATACACATGTTTAACGTATACACACATTTTAACGTATACACACATGTTTAACGTATACACACATGTTTAACGTATACACACATGTTTAACGTATACACACATGTTTAACGTATACACACATGTTTAACGTATACACACATGTTTAACGTATACACACATGTATAATACGTATACACACATGTTTAATGTATACACACATGTTTAACGTATACACACATGTTTAACGTATACACACATGTTTAACGTATATACACACATGTATACACTGTATACACACATGTATATACACACATGTATACGTATACACACTGTTTAACGTATACACACATGTTTAACGTATACACACATGTTTAACGTATACACACATGTTTAACGTATACACACATGTTTAACGTATACACACATGTTTAACGTATACACACATGTTTAACGTATACACACATGTTTAACGTATACACACACATGTATAACGTATACACACATGTTTAACGTATACACACATGTTTAACACACATGTTTAACGTATACACACATGTTTAACGTATTCACACACTGTTTAACGTATACACACATGTTTAACATGTTAACCACTGTTAAGTATACACACATGTTTAACGTATACACACATGTTTAACGTATACACACATGTTTAACGTATACACACATGTATAACGTATACACACATGTTTAACGTATACACACATGTTTAACGTATACACACATGTTTAACGTATACACACATGTTTAACGTATACACACATGTATAACGTATACACACATGTTTAATGTATACACACATGTTTAACGTATACACACATGTTTAACGTATACACACATGTTTAACGTATACACACATGTTTAACGTATACACACATGTATAACGTATACACACATGTTTAACGTATACACACATGTTTAACGTATACACACATGTATAACGTATACACACATGTATAACGTATACACACATGTTTAATGTATACACACATGTTTAACGTATACACACATGTTTAACGTATACACACATGTTTAACGTATACACACATGTATAACGTATACACACATGTATGACGTATACACACATGTATGACGTATACACACATGTATAACGTATACACACATGTTTAACGTATACACACATGTTTAACGTATACACACATGTATAACGTATACACACATGTTTAACGTATACACACATGTTTAACGTATACACACATGTATAACGTATACACACATGTTTAACGTATACACACATGTATAACGTATACACACATGTATAACGTATACACACATGTTTAACGTATACACACATGTTTAACGTATACACACATGTATAACGTATACACACATGTTTAACGTATACACACATGTTTAACGTATACACACATGTTTAACGTATACACACATGTATAACGTATACACACATGTTTAACGTATACACACATGTATAACGTATACACACATGTTTAACGTATACACACATGTTTAACGTATACACACATGTATAACGTATACACACATGTATAACGTATACACACATGTTTAACGTATACACACATGTTTAACGTATACACACATGTTTAACGTATACACACATGTTTAACGTATACACACATGTTTAACGTATACACACATGTTTAACGTATACACACATGTATAACGTATACACACATGTTTAACGTATACACACATGTATAACGTATACACACATGTTTAACGTATACACACATGTTTAACGTATACACACATGTTTAACGTATACACACATGTATAACGTATACACACATGTTTAACGTATACACACATGTTTAACGTATACACACATGTTTAACGTATACACACATGTTTAACGTATACACACATGTTTAACGTATACACACATGTTTAACGTATACACACATGTTTAACGTATACACACATGTATAACGTATACACACATGTTTAACGTATACACACATGTTTAACGTATACACACATGTATAACGTATACACACATGTTTAACGTCCACACACATGTTTAACGTATACACACATGTTTAACGTATACACACATGTTTAACGTATACACACATGTATAACGTATACACACATGTATGACGTATACACACATGTATGACGTATACACACATGTATAACGTATACACACATGTTTAACGTATACACACATGTTTAACGTATACACACATGTATAACGTATACACACATGTATAACGTATACACACATGTTTAACGTATACACACATGTTTAACGTATACACACATGTATAACGTATACACACATGTTTAACGTATACACACATGTATAACGTATACACACATGTATAACGTATACACACATGTTTAACGTATACACACATGTTTAACGTATACACACATGTATAACCTATACACACATGTTTAACATATACACACATGTTTAACGTATACACACATGTTTAACGTATACACACATGTTTAACGTATACACACATGTTTAACGTATACACACATGTATAACGTATACACACATGTATAACGTATACACACATGTTTAACGTATACACACATGTTTAACGTATACACACATGTTTAACGTATACACACATGTTTAACGTATACACACATGTTTAACGTATACACACATGTATAACGTATACACACATGTTTAACGTATACACACATGTTTAACGTATACACACATGTTTAACGTATACACACATGTATAACGTATACACACATGTATAACGTATACACACATGTTTAACGTATACACACATGTTTAACATGTTTAACGTATACACACATGTTTAACGTATACACACATGTTTAACGTATACACACATGTTTAACGTATACACACATGTTTAACGTATACACACATGTTTAACGTATACACACATGTTTAACTGCACAAAGAGGAGGTTACTTAATGGCAATAAACATGATTCTGGTTCTGATTGTAGAAGTCAAAGTGTGGTTCCATATTTTAACTAATGGAAAGTTCCCACAAACTGAGGCCTCATTTAAAAAGGTTAAAGATCCTTAAATGACTGAAGCAAAGAGAACGTGTCTATTTGACCCCATCTTATGTGAACGTATGAATAACTACTTTAGAATAGATCGTAAAAACATTTAGTCAAACAGAGTCAATGACAAAGTTGAAGAGCATAATAATGTCCTAAAATAAAGTTCCTCCCATATTGTAGAAGGTTAAAAGAAAAATATATCTGCAGATGCAAAAGATGAGCTAAGTAAGTAAGTAAGTTTTTATTTATATACCGCCTTTTCACTGCAGATCTGAGTCTCAAAGCGGTTTACAATTGTTAATTTTGGGCACTTGTCTCTCACTCCACACAGAGATGGGAGGGGCCAGTACAGGAGGCACATGCTAGAACTATTGAACATATTTTTAGTGGTAGGGGAAACCGGAGTACCCGGAGGAAACCTACGCAGACACGGGGAGAACATGCAAACTCCACTCAGAAAGGCCCTGGTCTGACCGGGATTTGAACCCAGGACCTTCTTGCTGAGAGGCGAGAGTGCTATCCACTCAGCCACCGTGCCGCCCTAACACAAGCACAAAGGTAACAGTGGATATGTTCAGGTTTCTGTCTCTTCTTCTGTGAATATTTGTGTTTATTGAGTGTTAATGCACATAAACCACCTGCTGTCCTGATGTGGCCCCGGAGAAAATACTGCCCCCATTATTACTGTGTCATGACGTATTATTATTATTATTATCCTAAAGTCAGAGATGTTATACTTTATCATGTTTCTGTCAGAGATTGTGCTCCTTCTGCTCTGTAACATTTCCCTCTGTGGGACAATAAAGGTCTTTTAATCTTACTGTGATCAAGTATTGCAGTGTTGTTATTATACAGTAAGTACAGTGTCATTACAGAGCTGGAGCTGCAGGCTCTAGGACCCTGCGGAGGAGGCTGCAGTCTGCGGATCAGAGCAGCACAGGCCGCGCACGGAGCGCACGGAGCGGGGAGCGCGGAGGACGTGCAGCCCAGAGGCGGAGGACACTCGGTACACGGTAAGACCCCCGCGCTATCTCCACACATTACCCCCGCGGTGAGCGCCCTGTCCCCCGGTGTCAGCCCCGGGCCCCGAGCCTCTCTCCAGCTGCGGACACAGAGCGCAGCCGTGGGGAGGGGCTCTCTCTCCGGGGTTACCGGGTGCACGGCCACTGTTTGCACCGGAGTCAGTGGAGCTTATGGCGGCTACATGAGCTCACACGTGTCCGGGAGCTACGGTTCAAGTCCCCGGAGCCACACACCACCGCACAGCACCCTCCACAGCCCGGGGTCCGTGTGCCTCTGAAGGCCGTGTAAGGTCCCGCTGCTGTCACCGAGCTGTACCTGAACGCATCACGGGCTCTCTACGGGAGACTGGGGGAGACTGGGGGAGACTGAGGGAGACTGGGGGAGACTGAGGGAGACTGGGGGAGACTGAGGGAGACTGGGGGAGACTGAGGGAGACTGGGGGAGACTGAGGGAGACTGAGGGAGACTGGGGGAGACTGAGGGAGACTGGGTGAGACTGAGGGAGACTGGGGGAGACTGAGGGAGACTGGGGGAGACTGGGGGAGACTGAGGGAGACTGAGGGGGACTGGGGGAGACTGGGGGAGACTGAGGGAGACTGAGGGGGACTGGGGAGACTGAGGGAGACTGAGGGAGACTGAGGGAGACTGGGGGAGACTGGGGGAGACTGGGGGAGACTGAGGGAGACTGAGGGAGACTGAGGGAGACTGAGGGAGACTGGGGGAGACTGAGGGAGACTGAGGGGGACTGGGGGAGACTGAGGGAGACTGAGGGAGACTGGGGGAGACTGAGGGAGACTGGGGGAGACTGAGGGAGACTGGGTGAGACTGGGGGAGACTGAGGGAGACTGAGGGAGACTGAGGGAGACTGGGGGAGACTGGGGGAGACTGGGGGAGACTGAGGGAGACTGAGGGAGACTGGGGGAGACTGAGGGGGACTGGGGGAGACTGAGGGAGACTGAGGGAGACTGAGGGAGACTGGGGGAGACTGGGGGAGACTGGGGGAGACTGAGGGAGACTGAGGGAGACTGGGTGAGACTGAGGGAGACTGGGGGAGACTGAGGGAGACTGAGGGAGACTGAGGGAGACTGGGGGAGACTGAGGGAGACTGGGGAGACTGAGGGAGACTGGGGGAGACTGAGGGAGACTGAGGGAGACTGGGGGAGACTGAGGGAGACTGGGGGAGACTGAGGGAGACTGGGGGAGACTGAGGGAGACTGAGGGAGACTGAGGGAGACTGAGGGAGACTGAGGGAGACTGGGGGAGACTGGGGGAGACTGAGGGAGACTGGGGGAGACTGAGGGAGACTGGGGGAGACTGAGGGAGACTGGGGGAGACTGAGGGAGACTGAGGGAGACTGAGGGAGACTGGGGGAGACTGAGGGAGACTGGGGGAGACTGAGGGAGACTGAGGGAGACTGAGGGAGACTGAGGGAGACTGAGGGAGACTGAGGGAGACTGAGGGAGACTGGGGAGACTGAGGGAGGGGAGACTGAGGGAGACTGGGGAGATGACTGGGGGAGACTGAGGGAGACTGGGGGAGACTGAGGGAGACTGGGGGAGACTGAGGGACTGGGGAGACTGGGGAGACTGGGGGAGACTGGGGGAGACTGGGGGAGACTGAGGGAGACTGAGGGAGACTGGGGAGACTGAGGGAGACTGAGGAGACTGAGGGAGACTGAGGGAGACTGAGGGAGACTGAGGGGAGACTGGGGAGACTGAGGGAGACTGGGGAGGACTGAGGGAGACTGGGGAGACTGAGGGAGACTGGGGGAGACTGGGGGAGGGAGACTGGGGGAGACTGGGGAGACTGAGGGAGACTGAGGGAGACTGAGGGAGACTGAGGGAGACTGGGGGAGACTGAGGAGACTGGAGACTGGGGGAGACTGAGGGAGACTGAGGGAGACTGAGGGAGACTGAGGGAGACTGGGGAGACTGAGGGAGACTGAGGGAGACTGAGGGAGACTGAGGGAGACTGAGGGACTGGGAGACTGAGGGAGACTGAGGGAGACTGAGGGAGACTGAGGGAGACTGAGGGAGACTGAGGGAGACTGAGGGAGACTGGGGAGACTGAGGGAGACTGGGGGAGATGAGGGAGACTGGGGGAGACTGAGGGAGACTGGGGGAGACTGAGGGAGACTGGGGGAGACTGGGGGAGACTGAGGGAGACTGGGGAGACTGAGGAGACTGAGGGAGACTGAGGGAGACTGGGGGAGACTGAGGGAGACTGAGGGAGACTGAGGGAGACTGACTGGGGGACTGACTGAGGGAGACTGGGGGAGACTGAGGGACTGGGGGAGACTGAGGGAGACTGGGGAGACTGGGGAGACTGGGGAGACTGAGGGAGACTGAGGGAGACTGAGGGAGACTGGGGAGACTGAGGGAGGGAGACTGAGGGAATGAGACTGGGGGAGACTGAGGGAGACTGGGGGAGACTGGGGGAGACTGGGGAGACTGGGGAGACTGGGGAGACTGAGGGAGACTGGGGAGACTGGGGGAGACTGAGGGAGACTGGGGGAGACTGAGGGAGACTGGGGGAGACTGAGGGAGACTGAGGGAGACTGGGGGAGACTGAGGGAGACTGAGGGAGACTGAGACTGAGGGAGACTGGGGAGACTGAGGGAGACTGAGGGAGACTGAGGGAGACTGGGGGAGACTGAGGGAGACTGGGGGAGACTGAGGAGACTGAGGGAGACTGGGGGAGACTGAGGGAGACTGAGGAGACTGAGGGAGACTGAGGGAGACTGGGGGAGACTGAGGGAGACTGAGGGGAGACTGAGGGAGACTGGGGGAGACTGAGGGAGACTGGGGGAGACTGAGGGAGACTGGGGAGACTGAGGGAGACTGAGGGAGACTGAGGGAGACTGGGGAGACTGAGGGAGACTGGGGGAGACTGAGGGAGACTGGGGGGAGACTGCGTGTGTGTGTCTGCGTGTGTGTGTCTGTGTGTGTGTGTGTGTGTGTGTCTGCGTGTGTGTGTCTGCGTGTGTGTGTCTGTGTGTGTGTGTGTGTGTGTGTGTGTGTCTGCGTGTGTGTGTGTGTGTGTGTGTCTGCGTGTGTGTGTCTGCGTGTGTGTGTGCGTGTGTGTGTGTGTGTGTGACTGCGTGTGTGTGTGTGTCTGTGTGTGTGTCTGCGTGTGTGTGTGTGTGTCTGTGTGTGTGTGTCTGCGTGTGTGTGTCTGCGTGTGTGTGTCTGTGTGTGTGTGTGTCTGCGTGTGTGTGTCTGTGTGTGTGTGTGTCTGCGTGTGTGTGTCTGCGTGTGTGTGTGTCTGCGTGTGTGTGTGTGTGTGTCTGTGTGTGTGTGTGTGTGTGCGTCTGTGTGTGTGTGTGTGTCTGCGTGTGTGTGTCTGCGTGTGTGTGTCTGTGTGTCTGCGTGTGTGTGTCTGTGTGTGTGTGTCTGTGTGTGTGCGTGTGTGTGTCTGTGTGTGTGTGTCTGTGTGTGTGTGTGTGTACCGTTTCTCGCACCTGTCTGGACCTGGGGCTGGAGGAGAAAGCACCTGGAGAATGAGCTGAAACATTAAACTTATTTAACTTTCATTTCGTTTACTCAGAATGTTCCACAAATGTTTCGGCCATTTTGTTTCCCGTTGAGGCCAAACATGACTCAGACTTTCAGCGCTGATGTCACACACATCCATAAACTTAGCTACTTTCAATAGTTCTAATATTTTGAAACTATTCTAAACGGTTCAATAAACACTAGAAAAGGAGTCGTTCATTGGCTGAGACTGTCGATAGACGATGCTAACGTGCTAGCTCAGTGAAGCCCAATAGGGAAGTGCTCATGGACAAAGTTTTGCTCCAGCTCTCTCAGACTGACTGTTGCTAAGCTGTTTTTGCTGACTCTTGGCTCAAACATGTTTTTAAGATGCAGAGGTCAGGATGTGTGTGTTTGTGAGAAGTGAGGAGTGTGTGAGTGTTTGGACCGCGGCAGATCCAACATCTCCGTTTGTTCTGACCGCAGCGCTTTGTAAACACTGATTTGGAAAAATGCTATACACGAAAAGATGTATTTATTATTATAACCTGCTGATTTGGGTAGAGTTCACCTCACCTATGGTCACCTATGGTCATGAGCTTTGGGTAATGACCGAAAGAACGAGATCGCGGATACAAGCGGTCGAAATGAGCTTCCTCCGCAGAGTGGCTGCTCCCTTAGAGATAGGGTGAGGAGCTCGGTCACACGGGAGGAGCTCGGAGTAGAGCCGCTGCTCCCTTAGAGATAGGGTGAGGAGCTCAGTCACACGGGAGGAGCTCGGAGTAGAGCCGCTGCTTCTCCACGTCGAGAGGAACCAGTTGAGGTGGCTCGGGCATCTGTTCCGGATGCCTCCTGGACGCCTCCCTGGGGAGGTGTTCCGGGCACGTCCCACCGGGAGGAGGCCCCTGGGAAGACCCAGGACACACTGGAGGGACTATGTCTCTCAGCTGGCCTGGGAACGCCTTGGGGTCCCCCCGGACGAGCTGGAGGAAGTGTGTGTGGATAGGGAAGTCTGGGCGTCTCTGCTTAGACTGCTGCCCCCGCGACCCGGCAACGGATAAAGCGGAAGAAAATGGATGGATGGATGGATAGTTCGGCCACTTCGTCGCTATCAGAGCTAGCCTCGCTCAATAAACACAAAAACCAATCACTGACACATTTAAATGTTAATGGGAGAATACATTACATTTTATAACAAAAATACTGTGTTAATGCGAGAAAAAGCGATTGCGAAAAACCTGGAAGTATAACCCGGGACAGTTTAGGAACATTTGCAGAGAATTATGGTTTAGGTTAAGTTTATGTTTAGGTCCCTCACTGAGGATTGACCCAAACATAATGAAGTATATAATCCATACTCGTGCTGAGGAGCAGGACGTCAGACTCTGACAGTTGGACTGTGATGTCTTTGACACATCTGGGTCACGGAGCTGCGTGTGCTGCACCTGGAGCAGAACATGTGCCGCCGTCCAATCACACGGGACCTTTAATCCACAGACATCAGTCACTGACTGTCCTGCTATGTGTGTGTGTTTGTGTGTGTGTCTGTGTGTGTGTGTGTGTCTGTGTGTGTGTGTCTGTGTGTGTGCGTCTGTGTGTGTGTGTGTGTGTGCGTCTGTGTGTGTGTGTGTCTGTGTGTGTGCCTGTGTGTGTGTGTGTGTTTGTGTGTGTGTCTGTGTGTGTGTGTGTGTCTGTGTGTGTGTGTCTGTGTGTGTGCGTCTGTGTGTGTGTGTGTGTGTGTGCGTCTGTGTGTGTGTGTGTCTGTGTGTGTGCCTGTGTGTGTGTGTGTGTTTGTGTGTGTGTCT